GTATGCTGTCTGCCGACAGTGCCCAGAGGGAGGGAGCAGAACCGGTCGATATCGAATGATGTTCCTCGCACGCCCAGGTCTGTGCCCGGCCCTGTGGCCCCGGGCTGCCCCGTTCCTTCACGCCCTTCTCCTGCAAGGCCCCCAGGACCCGCACCCGTGATCCCTTCCCCAGCCCCTCCCCGCACGCCGCCCCCGTCCCACATGGGGATCTCCCGGTAGCCCAGCCGTGGGAGCGAGGCAAAGAACTCATCGGTGTCTCCGCAATGGCCGTATCGGCCGGAGGGCTGACCCCCCAGCGGGTTGTGTGGCCGGCTTCCTGCCTCCTGCCATGGAAGAAAAGGGGTCGTTCCTCGTTCAGTCTTGGGCTAGCGGAGCCTCCCGCTCCCGTTGTGATGCCGGGTGTACTTGGGACTTCACTGGGCGCAGCTCCTGCTCCTTCCGAGTCTCCTCTCTCGGATTCAGTCCACTTGTCAGAGGGTCCCTGTTTGCCTCTCGCTGCTCCCTCTCATTGGCTGGTAAAGCCGCGGGGGCACTGTGCTTTGGTTTGTAAGAACATCAGAGCGGGCAGACGGGGCCAGACCAAAGCTGACCCAGGCCAAGGCCGGGTGCCCAGAGGGAGGGAACAGAGCAGGGAACCCTCATGGGATCCCTCCCGTCGCCCATTCCCGGCCCCTGAGGAAGAGGAGCTACGGGCAGCACGGCCCACGCCCGGTCCCTTACTAGGTTGGTATGTGGGCTAGACAGGTAAGTTCCTGCCTGGGGGGGCCGGGCCCCAGATCTGTGCTGGACTCGCCCCTGCTGCTCCCTGGGGGCCAGAAATGGGGTAACCGGCTTTGTCTCTTCTCCACCCAGATTGTGTGCCAGGAGCACGGGCGGAGGACCCATCTCGCCTCCATTCTCAATAATGGAGAGAACGACATGCTGGCCAGCTATGTCAAGCATCACAAGGAAAACACTGAACCCGTCTGGGTCGGACTCTCGGACCCAAAGCATGTGAGTGCCCGGCGCCCGCTCCGCCTGCGACCCCTCCCAGCCCTGGCTCTGTTCCCTGCTCAGTGGGGGGCTGTTGTGGGGCGGGGGGTCCCACGAGAGCAGGATCTCCGGTGGGACGGGGTGGAAAGAGGTTGCAGCCACCTGTGATCTCAGTCCCAGGTCAGTGCCCAACACCCGGCGCAGAGCCCAGCCCGCTGTGACTGACATCCACGGTGACACTCGGCCCAGCCCCGTTGGGCTCTGACCCTTCAGCCCAGCCCAGCCCACAGATCAGCCCAGCTGTGACGGACGGGCTGTGTCTGGACACTGCTGAGGGTATCTGCTCAGGGCGAATTGCTCAAACCCAGGGCTCCTTACAGCCCCTGACTGGAGACCTTCCCGAACAGGCCACACACCAGTCACACCGAGCGCTCCAGCTGCCAATCCAGCCGGCAGGAAGCCTCATGACAAAACCCCTCAGACGCCCCAGCTCTCCCTGTGCCCCAAACAGCCCCGGGCCTAACACAGGTGAGGGGTGTAGCACCCAATCTCACCTACTCCCAGCGGCTCCTCCCAGTCCCAAGAAACCAGCCACAGGCCCCTGGTCAATTTACCCTCCGGATCTTACCCACAAATCACGCTGAGCCAAGACTTTAGCATCTACAGTCTAAGGCTGCGTCTACATTGGTGCGCTCTTGTGCAAAAACTTGCTGCCTGTCTACACTGGCCGCGTGTTCTTGCGCAAGGAAACTGACGTTCTAATGTGTGAAATCAGGGCTTCTTGCACCAGGACGCTGACGCTCCCGCTCAGGGATAAGCCCTTTTGTGCAACTGTTCTTGTGCAAGAGGCCAGTGTAGACAGGCAACATGAATTTCTTGCACAAGAAATCCCTGTGGTTAAAATGGCCATCAGAGCTTTCTTGCACAAGAGAGCATCTACACTGGCACGGATGCTCTTGCACAAACACACATGCCAGTGGAGACGCTCTCTTCTGGAAGAGTTTTTGCACAAGATCTTGCCAGTGTAGACGTAGCCTAAAGGTTTATTATCACAAGAAAGAAAAGCCTGAGAGTGAGGTTGTTAAAGGATGGTACGTTACACGCACCGAATCTCCCAGTTCTCGATGCAGGCTCTAGCAGAGATGTCACAGCTGCTGGCTTAGAAGTCTCTGGTATCTATCCTACGGAGCAATCGACTCCCTTCCATGGGTGCAGCTGTGATCTGGCCGCTCATTTTCCAATGCAATCACGTGACACTCCCGCCTCCCGAGACGCGACGTCTAGACGAGGGCGTGGACAAGGGGCAGCCCCATAGGCCGAGCAAACAGTGCGGGGGAGGAGTCTGTCAGTCTCTGTTCTCTGCTGGGCCTGGCCGGAGGGGGGGGGGGTTCCCGCTCCCGGCCTTGTAGGGGACACTCAGGGTGCCAGGAACCACCAGACACTGGGTCAGGACGGGCGGTTGCTGGGCAGGCAGGACGGGCAGGTGCCGATACCCCCGAGCTGCAGAGGGGGAACCAATCAGAGAGGAATCCATGATGCCCAAGCGGCTCTTGTTTGGCCCTGGGCCGGCCCTGTCCAGAGCCAGAAACCAGCTGGGCACGTCACAGAGTGACTCCAGCGCCGCCCAGAGCCGCAGCCCGGAGCTCGGCAGTGGGGAC